GCCCGTCGCCCTTCCGACCCCGGCGCCAGCCCTACTACAACTACCAGGATGCGTCGGGCGGGTGAACTACACTTCCCGGGATACTCCGCGTCAGGAGTGGGCCTGCGCGCTGGGCCTGGGGGTGGAGCTGCTGTGGCGGCGCTAGAGCGCGGGAAGTCCGGAACCCTCGTCGCGGCGGCCGGAGTATGAGCCTGGACCGCGAGCTTCGCCGTGAGTCCAGGGACTAGCGCCCGAACGCGGGGGCCGGGGGCGGGCCTGGCCCTCCCGGGCGGAGAAGCTTAGCACCCAGGCCTCGTCCTTCTTTCTGCAGAGTTGAGCAAGGCCAAGGCTAAGGCCCAGAGGAGCGGACAGCTGCGGGAGGAGGCAGCCGTCTGCCACCAGCTGGGGGAGCTCCTGGCCAGCCATGGTGCGTGGGGTGGAGTCCGGGCCTGGGAGCGAGGAGCCGGGAGGACGGCGGGGGGTTGGGGGGGGGCGGGGACGGGGGGGCCTTCCTGAGTGCCGGCCGGCCGCAGCCCCACTGGCCCTCGCGGCCCCTGGCCCTCTGCCCGGCCAGACTGAAGCCTGTCCCGCCCGCCCAGGGTGCTACGCGGAGGCCCTGCGAGAGCACCAGCAAGAGCTGCAGCTCCTGGAGACGGCCGACGACCCCCTGGGCTGCGCCGTGGCCCACCGCAAGATCGGAGAGCGGCTGGCGGAGATGGAGGACTACTCGGCTGCCCTGCAGGTGGGCGGAGGCCGCGACGTGGACTCCCACGCTGGCCACACCCAGCTCTCCTGGGCTCTCATCTCCTGGGGGTCCGTTTCCGAGAAGGGAGGCCCAGTCTCTGCTGTCCAGGCCTCTGGCTGGAGGGGAGAGGGGGACACGCTGCGCTGGGCCCTGGTAGCCTGGTCCTTGGGTGGGTGTGCCACAGGCCCTCTGTCCACACAGAGCTGCCCTGGCCCTGGCTTCTGGGGCTGCCACAGCCCAGCTAACTCCTGGTCAGTGTCTCTCCCCCAATGACTTTGGCTGGTCCGAGTGTGGTGGCACCGTCCCCACAGTCAGTCCTCGGCATAAAGAAAATGGGGTGTTGCAGCCTGGCTTTGGCCTGCTCTGTGGGGGCTTGGGGGACACGTGGGGTTTGCTTGACGTGGGGTTGGCTCACAGTGGCCATTCTTCTGTGCTCCAGCACCAGCACCGCTACCTGGAGCTGGCATGTTCCCTGTCCAACCATGTTGAGCAGCAGAGGGCCTGGGCCACCATTGGCCGCACCCACTTGGACATCTTTGACCACCACCAGTCACAGGATGCCTTGCTGCAGGCACGGGGTGCCTTCGAGAAAAGCCTGGCTATCGTAGATGAGAAGCTGCAGGGTAATTGCCCTTGGAGACTGGCCCTCCCCACCTTCTGCCTCCTGAGCTCTGCAGGGAGAAGAGGCTACAGCCCCGTTGCCCGCCTGCCCCTGTGGTGGGTCCACCTGCCTGGACCCTTCCTTTGTGAGGTTGAGGTTGGTTCTCAGAAGCAGCAGCCCGCCCCCCGCCCCGCAGGGCCTGTGCTCCTCAAGACCTCGGGTCCGGCTGCCTTTGCTCTCTTTCACTCCGCTCTACCTGCAGCAGAACCCCTGGCACCTACAGTGAGAGGCTGGAGGAGGGGTCCAGGAGAGGCTGGCCAGGGCCCAGGGCTGGAGACCCCAAGTTGGGGGTAAGGCACTGAGTGTCTGGAGGGGCGTCTTCCAGGCTCACTGGCCAAGCGAGAGCTGAGTGAGATGAGGACCCGACTGTACCTCAACGTGGGCCTCACGTGCGACAGCCTGCAGCAGGCGGCGCTATGTCACGCTTTCTTCACGAAGAGCATCTTTCTTGCCGAGTAAGGCCCCGCTCGGCCCCAGGAGGGGGGCTCCCAGCGTCCTCCCGCGAGGGCGGCCGGGCCGACCTCACCCCTGCGCCCAGTCAGTTTCCTGTTAGCAGAGGCGCAGCCTTGGCTTTGTGGGGGCCGGAACCCTAAGTGGCATCGGCGGGTGCCTGCCGTGCTGTCCCTAAGCGACAGTGCCCCGGGCACTGAGCTCCTGTCCCCACCCCCAGGCAGAACCACCTGTACGAGGACCTGTTTCGCGCCCGCTACAACCTCGGCGCCATCCACTGGCGGCGGGGGCAGCACTCTCAGGCCATGCGCTGCCTGGAGGGGGCGCGGAAGTGCGCACGCATCCTGAAGCAGGGCTCCATGGAGAGCGAGTGCTGCCTGCTCCTCTCGGAGGTGCTGGTTCCTGGTGGCTCTGGGCTCTGCTCCCGGGTGGGCTTGGGCCTTCCGGAGCCTGTGGGCCTCACCTTCCCTTGCCCCCCAGGTCCTCCAAGACCTAGGGGATTTTTTGGCCGCCAAGAGAGCCTTGAAGAAGGCCTATCGGCTTGGCTCCCAGAAGCCTTTGCAGAAGGCGGTGGTCTGCCGGACTCTCAAGTATGGTGAGCCTGGGGTGGGGGGCTGACCCCCGAGAAGGGGTAGGGAGGGCTCCCGTCCTTCAGTAGACGAGGCCTGGCCGTGTGTCCTTTGGGAGGCGGCAGCGCCAGTAGGGTGCCCATCTCCCCCCATTTCTTGTCGGGAGGGGCCTCGTTTTTCTCTGAGCTGCATTCCGCACAGAGTGTCAGAGGGGCACCCGGGGTGGTCAGGAGACTAGTGTCTACGCACAAGCCAGCTTCGTTGGCAAACTCGAGAGAAAAGCCGCCCCACCTAACGGGGTGGGAGCGTGGACGGTGCGTGTGGCCGAGCAGAACTGACGAGTGGCGGTCAGCAGGCCCCACCCCTGCTGTGGACCAGCCCCTGCCCTGACTCGTCGTCACTTGGTTCTTCTACTCTTGCTGCGACCCCACGAAGCAGCTCCTCCTGCCACCCCCCTTACCAGTGGGTGAGCGGAGGCTCGGGCAGGTGGCTGGCTGCCTAGGGGCACAGGGCCAGGCCCCAGGCTGTGCCGCCCCCGCACCAGGCTCTTTCTGGCAGTGCTCGCGGTGGTCCACCTGCAGCAGCAGCTGGAGGAGTCTGAGGAGAGTGACCCGCGGGGCGCCATGGGCATCTGCGAGCAGCTGGGTGACCTGTTCTCCAAGGCGGGCGACTTCCCCAAGGCTGCCGCGGCCTACCAGAAGCAGGTGCGTGCCCAGGCTGGGGCGGGGGCGAGGGCACCGGGGCTGTGGGCTGCGGGGTGTGGCGCAGCCCTGGCCTCGCTGTTGCCGCCTTCCCAGCTGCAGTTCGCAGAGCTGCTAAACAGGCCGGGGCCTGAGCTGGCCGTCATCCACGTGTCCCTGGCTGCCACCCTGGGGGACATGAAGGAGCACCGCCAGGCCGTGCACCACTATGAAGAGGAGCTGAGGCTGCGCGACGGCAGCGCTCTGGAGGTGAGGGGTCACGGCGCCCTGCCCTGCCCGGGGCTCTGTCCCAGGACTGCTGCCCTTGGGGGTGGGCATGGGAGGGCTGTCGTCCTCCTGTCTCGTGTGGGCAGCCATGGGGAGCCGGGGCCAGCTGGGTGCGGCCGCCACCGAGTTCACGTCTCCTTCTCCAGGAGGCCAAGACCTGGTTGAACATCGCACTGTCCCGCGAGGACGCCGGTGATGCCTACGAGATGCTGGCACCGTGCTTCCAGAAGGCTCTCGGCTGTGCGCAGCAAGCTCAGCAGCTGCGGCTGCAGGTGTGAGAGCCCGCCCGCCCGTGCTGGGATCCCCACGTACAGCTTCCCCGCGGTCCGTCTGTACCCCTGTCCCCCGTCCCCGTCTCTGCTCTGGTCCTGAGCTGGGCGTCCCCTGCTCCTCAGAGGCAGGTCTTACGGCACCTCCACGCGGTGCAGCTGAGGCTGCAGCCTCAGGAGGCCCCTGGCACTGAAGCCAGGCTGCAGGAGCTGAGAGCGGATGAAGACGAGGAGGACGAGGGGGACGAGGACGACGAGGAGGACGAGCGGGATGAGGGGGACGCCGCCACCCTGGAGGCCATCGAGATGGAGCTCTCAGAGAGCGGTGAGGGTCAGACGCCATGCCGGCGGCCCTGGTGTTCCCTCCCTGACGCCGGGGCCGGGCCGGTGGGTCCTGCTCACAGGCTCAGGATGGGAGGGAACAGCCCAGCACCGGGTGGGTAACTGGCGCAGGTGAGGCGGGTGGAGGAG